AAGTCCACCAACCGAACCCACAACTCACATGAACACCCTCTTTCCTTATGGACGGGTGCGTTGTGTCCGGGGGAAAATTGTAGTCGATAGCACACATAAATGTAATATTGTAGGACTCGACAACACAATATACAAACCTACTATCCGTAAACCAATGTACGATCTCTCTCTCTCTCTCTCTCTCTCTCTCTCTCTCTCTCTCTCTCTCTCTCTCTCTCTCTCTCTCTCTCTCTCTCTCTCTCCACCCACGTGTTTTACTTCCTCCTCATTTTTTGCATTTCTCCGCTCACAGTTCCTTTTGCTCCTGCTGCGTTTGCCCTCGTCATATTATGCATATTTCCCCTGTGCAAATGTTTTTTTTTTTGTAACACATTTGTCTCTTCTCCCTACACGTTTGCACTCTACCGCTCGTGCTCCTTCTTCTCCACCTCCACAGTGGGTTTGTGATTTACTGCATATTCCATTACCCTCTTTATTCCCAACAAGGCAGATGATTGCAACAATTGGAAAGTTTTGACTCGAACGATAAACTTACTTTATAAAGTTTCAATGATGGTGCGTAATTATGTCATAATGCTAACTTTCGTTTTGCGAATGCATCTACGTTGAGTCTTGATGCAGATTCATAAAGATGGTCTAAAATAAAAATATCGAAAAAATAGGGAAAAAAAAAATATAATTGATAATTACCCTAACGTGTTATTTATCATACTGAGGCTCAACTACTTCGATTTTCATTGTTTTCCCTTAAAGGTTCCATCAGGAGGACACAAGTTTAAGACGCTTAGCCCTCTGCAGTAGTTAACGAAGATCGACCCTCTTTCCTCTAGTACTACATCGTGTTTTTTTTTTTTTTTTTTTATATCCAAACTAGAAGCTAACTCAATACGTTTCAGTGCAATTTATCATGCCGTGGGGACGATGATTAAATATTTGTAGCTATTGAGCTAGCTCCTTTTTAAGCAAGAAGCTAAGTCCGATTATTGTTTTGGTGTGGTGATTTGGGGTTCAAATATCCCTATTTATGAAACTGAATCAGGTAAGGCCACCTGCAATAATTTTTGCTAGACCGAATAATCAATAATTTTAATTAGTTTGATCGTCAGACCTAAACTAATTCTAATCCGCGTCTGTGCAATGATGTCGTCGGGGTAATCTAGGAGGTCGTTCTCACAACCTTCCTCTACATAATGCATCTTACAATGAAGACGGTCACATTTTGAAACTTGTCGTTTGTTAGTTATGAATCCCCTGCGAATGAGGCAGCGCAGAATCGATGATCTGCTTTAGTTGTGTAACCTTGATCACACTTACACTTCGAGGAATGTATCGAACCATTTTCACGTCCCAATCCGTGTTTCAGTTTTTTTTTTCTTAATTTTTGTTTCTGGAATCTGACAATCTGAATTCGTGATCTGCTCGAGCTGTGTTTCCTCAAAGGATTGTAACCCTGATCACAATGACACTTTGAGGAATATCCAACCATTTTTACGACCGAATGCATTTCCGTTGTTTTTTTTTTCTTATTTTGTATTTATGAAATATGACAACCTGGCCACAGGGTTGAGATGCCCTAACCGAGGGCACACTCACACTACCACTTCCAATAATGTATACAACTGCAATCACAGGCAAAGTTTTATTTTATTTTATTATTTTTTGAGTTTCATTACCGTAACTGCTTTTTTTTTTTCCCATGAAAGTACCATAAAGAAAATGGAATGGGACCCAGGCTCGGCAAAACTCGGAGCGCAGTGAAATTCAAGGTCGGCAAAAATAGACTCGGATGTACAAGTGGTTTAATATAATAATAATAAAAAAATGGTATGACCTTAGCTCAGTTGGTTAGGCACATGAGTGACGTTCATGAGGTCCGGGTTCAATCCCCACTAACTGAGTGGGGGCACGCTTGATGTCAACCAACTGATGTTGTTCACAACCCGTTAGGAATGCATTTTAGACCCTTGAGACATTTGTCGTATTTCATTCGCACGAAGCCAATACAGTCACGTCAAACGCATCGATTCCCATCTTTCTCGCAAAAGGCGAGAACCCTCCCGACCACGTAACGCAGGAGTTGAAGAAAAATAAGAGGCAATTCAGAGACAACGTGAAAGTAATCCTGCGAACCGTCGAGACGGGCGCGGTTGCATTGTCACCCCGCCGCTCTAACTGGGTGCACTAGTCGTACCTCTCACAGTCCCCTACGACAGGATAGGTTCCCTCGAGGCAGAACTTATTTTCTTTAAGATGTTGCCACCGCCCTTAGGGGCGTATCCGTACCGAGCTATTGACTCATGTACAAAAGTTTTTATATGCAATCGCGGAGGTGGACTAGCCGAGGGCGTTTACTCGTTTCGCTACAGTATATGCATGCTTGGTTAGAACGTTGTCTGAACTCGAACGTCGTTCATTCCTTATGACGCTGATCACCTAAGTATGAAACATACGTCGGTCGACTAGGACGGTCTCAACCAGGCGCAAAACCCGTAGGTATTCCTAGTCCCTTAGATATAATCCATAAGAGAATTGCTGCAACAACTTCATAACTCGAAAATAGTTCGGTTGTAGTCGATAGAAAAACATATCTATATAGAAATATAATCTCGTAACTATCATTTATCAATGTCATCCATGAAACAAATATCGTCGGAAGCCACACAATCAAAGCAAATGTACATATATAGATCCAGTCTTGTGGGACCGACTAAAACCACGTCAGGAAGAATATCCCACTGACGTGGGAACCGACTTCGATTGGGTTTTTCACTTGATGAGGCATTCTACGAAAGTTATTTATTTCATTGGGTTTTTGACTTGATGAGGCATTCTACGAAAGTTATTTATCTCACCTTACTGTTGACATTTGATAAGGCATACACACACCCTTATCTATACATTTTTAATATTTTTGGATGACAGACTGCTTTGTCGATGATTCTTGATTAAGTGCATTACTCGAAGTGTTACATGATCTATATACGTAGGTCGCGCTACCTAATTTTGACACTTTCCCATTATTATTCTTTGGTTGTCATTCGATCGTGAGCCCCTCGACCTTAGTCCGAAAAAACTTTTTATCATGTAATTCTCTCTTGCCTGCTAACTCCACCACGTTTCTACAACTCCTTGTCATCACGAAAAATAGTATTTTAACTTTGACCAACATTTGTGCGCCACCTCTGCCTCTTTTGTGTACAATTACCGTTTAATGTCGAAGAATGATAGTACCATTATTGGGGCAATCCGAATACTATCCATTCGGTTGGGATTCACATATTACCCTATTTATGAGGGTATAACCTGTGACGCCTGGTAGGTCGCTTTCCCTGGTCGAAATAAAATTACGAGGGGTCGGGAAAAATCTAGTCCGCCCACTTTAAAAATATAAAACGAACAGACCGTTCGTTCCACCGGAAAGTCACGAAACGAGGGAACTAAAATTGAAAAAACAAAGTTAACATAAAAACAAATTAGAATTATCACAGAAAGTTATACCGCTGTGGCAGTTCGTTGTTTTTATATCCGTCAAAACTAAAGTAACGGTTCATAATATAGTGCAGATTGGGATCGCAACTTTCCACTTTTCTATCCTACACTTTTTATTATCTTCTTTGTCCGCCTTTTTTTTTATATAGTGACTGTCACTACAGTATTCAATCCATAACGCGAGCAGAAGGTGCTTTGCACGCAACAGAAAATATCACAACGGTCTTACTACCTTTGCGTTTCTGGACGAACCCGACGACTACCAGGAGCAGGGTCAGTTGTACTTTACTGTACAACATAACACTGTGTCTGCGTGGACCAAAGGAAAGTCCATTGGCGCACCTCCACCCTTTTGTTGTAGCGTAGGACGGTTCGAGGAACACGATACAAGTAGGGTGTGTATGATACATCGTGGAGGGTTGGGACACCGCACTCCTCGACACCGTGCAATGTGTGCATGTGACAATGCTAATAAAAAACTAACCTTTATTTAGTCTGCATCACTTTGCAAAAATTACTGACCCTGGGTATAGGCCAAAACTTGTAATTTTCTAACATTGGCAGAGGTACTAGTGGTTTAATAACTAATTCTTTTAAACCACTAGTACTTGGCCCAACTATCAAGTCCGAGCCTCGGCCGACCGGTAGGCGAATCCGTGTCGAGGCTCGGACTACCGGGCGTTAAATTCCCGGAGCTGTTGTTGAAAGAAACGTAAAGAAAGGGGAAAAAAAAAAAAAAAAAAAAACCGAGAACATAAAAAAAAAAAAAAAACCCCTGCCAAAAAACGAAAAGAGGCGCCCGAGAGAGAGAGAGAGAGAGAGAGAGAGAGAGAGAGAGAGAGACGAAAACGGCACGTTTGCTGTGCAGAGAGTGCGCAGCAAACGTGCCGTTTTTGTCTCTCTCTCTCTCTCTCTCACTCGATGCAGTCCGTTTTTCTGAATTTCGTTTTCCTTCTTCCTTTTTTTCTTTTTTTTTTGAAAGTTTTCTTTGTTTTTCGTTTGTTTTTCTTTTGATTTTTCTCACATTCATTGTAAACAAAATTTGATGTCCTCGAAGTACCGGTACTTCGAGGCTAGTCACCCTAGCTGTAGGTTACGCCTACCGGTAGCTTTAGGGTCGGGCCTTGACAACCGGTATAGAATCCGGACAGGATGGCCTTTCATGCCTTTTTTATTGTCATTATAGTATTATAGGGAACCCCATAGTAGCCACATCAGTGCTCAAGCCTCCAACAAGGGAACATGCGGCAGCTGCACCCACCAGCAGGTGCTATACCTGCTACAGCCTGTAGCACCAGGACCGAACTTCTTCGATGGGCCAGTCGCTGTGGCTCCCCTCCGGTCCCCTCCCCCTACGAACATCAGCAGTCTCTGCTCAATGGCATCCAGGGGGACCAACAGCCTATCTCTAGGTGGTGGGCGCCAATCTCGCCCAGGAACGTACATGAGGCCAATGGGGATTGAACCCAAGACCTTCTGAATGCCAGTTGCGTGCCTTACCAACTGAGCTTGGCCGCTGGATTGCCAGACCTCTTATCATGCCCGCTACCGGTAGTCTTCGACGATGACACTCAACAACCCTTGCACGTGCTGGTGAGGGACTGTGCGGTCTTGTACGGCGGTGCTGTTAGACGAGCGTTTTGTATCGTAAGCGGGGAATACCAAGTGGAGTGTTGCCACGTGGGGCTGGTCGCCATGGCTTCGTCCGCGGGAGCTGCTTGCGCTGCCGGTGGGCCATTCGCCACTGTGCAGACGCGAAGAACAAGTGCAACGACCGGTTGTTCACTTGACGGCGATTCGAGCTCGAGATGCTTCCTGGCAGTCACGAGAGCGAGTTGTAGGACACTCTGGCAGTCGTCTGTCAGTCGGTGTGAGACGTGTCCAGGGCTAGCGACGAGTAGCGGGCGGAGCGGCGGAGTGACATTCGCGTCGGCGGCGGCGGTGTGCAGATTCAGATCTCCTACTGCCGCTTTCTCGCTTTCTTTCTCTCGTCGGCTCTGTTCCTACAGTAATGGTGATGATTATGATAATGAGGAGGATGATAGAATGCATGGCCGCCGTCTGTACAAGAAGAAGACGGTATTCCTTTCCGATGGGATATCGACGACAGTGGGAAGGCGGGTGGGGAGTGGTAGAAAAAAGGTAGGTGGTCGCGGTGGCGGCGCGAGGTGGGGTGTAGCAAGGGCGGCGGGGGGGGGAGGCAATCAAGCCGCTAGCAGAGACCGAGGCGGTGGAGGTATTGGGAGAGGGAGGTAAACTGTCAGACAAGATCCCGCCGGCGCCGGGTGTGTATGCCATATATGACAAAAACGGCGCGCTGCAGTACGTCGGCCTTTCCCGCAAGGTGTCATTTAGCCTGGCCAATCACGCGGCGAGGCTACCAGATCTAGTGGCCACGGTGAAGATCGCGATCGTTGACGGTCCGGATCGGGACGCGCTTCAGGCCGGCTGGAAATCCTGGGTGGAGGAACACGTGTCGGCCGGCGGAGCTGTCCCACCCGGTAACATGCAGGGCAATAACACGTGGAAGGAGTCGTCGCGCCGCCCTCCGAAAGCCGATCTGCGGCTGACACCCGGCGCCCACGTGCCGCTCACTGTTCCCATGGAAACCCTAATCGGTGCGGCAATCAAGGGTACGCCCGTGATCGCCTTCATCAAAGGAACACGCAGCTCCCCCCAGTGCGGCTTCTCCCATCGGGTGTTGATGGCCCTGAACAAGGAGGGCGTTGACTACGAGACGGTCAACGTGCTTGATGAGGAGTTCAATCCGGGGGTCAGGGAGGCAATCAAGGCCTATTCCAAATGGCCAACCATCCCACAAGTCTTTATAAATGGGGAGCTGATTGGAGGTGCTGATCTTCTGGAAGAGAGCGTCGAGAAGGGAGAGTTCAAGCAACTGCTGGCGGCAATCAAGAAATGACAATGAACCGACTTCGTCCTCGTGAGTTCGAATTATAGACAATCTCTCTCTCTCTCTCTCTCTCTCTCTCTCTTTTAGTGAAGGATGACGGGCTTGAGATGTCATCTTTTGTATGGAAGTAAGCTGATCTTTTTCTATCGGGATTCAAACTCAGGTCTGCATGTCAACAGTCCATGGATCTACCAACTAAGCCAGGCGTGTTGGTTCTCTCTCCCCTTTTTCAATTGCTGGTTATATGCAAATGTTGTCGAAATTGAAATCGGAAAAAAAAAAAACACGAGGAAAAAAAAGTCGAAAACGAATGAGCGAGTTGGATTTAACCAAGGATGGAAAAAAAAATAGATTTTGTTCGCATGCACACATTCCTTGTGACTCTCCCGATGGCAGAGAAGAGTATTGGGAGATGGAGGTGGTGCAGGAAGTCAAATCAACGACCATTTTTGTCCTGTCGACACGTCATCATCACCCTCCTCCTCCCATTTATTACTAGTAGTGATTCCTCCACTTTCTCCTTCTTTCGCGATTACCAGTCCCTTGCCGTCGTTCTTTAATCCGTAGTAATCAATCAAACAATGCTAACTAACCTACAATCGGCCCGCAAGGCCCACTCATTTTAACCGCCTATGCTCCTATCTATCTAAAACCACCATTACTTTTGAATTTTCGTAAAATTTCTGCCCCCTACCCTAGCTGATGCTCCCTAGCCCCATACATCTAGCTGATGCTCCCTAGCCCCTATCTATCTAGCTGATGCTCCCTAGCCCCATACTTCTACTACGACTAAGAGGCAAGAGAAAAATAAGAGGCGGAGTCTATCTACATAAGGTCCGTTTAATGGCCTCGTTGCATAACTCGCCATCCGCCGACATTTTTTGAATGCATCTGGATTCTGGACTCAGAATTTGTCGAGATGCATTCAAAATGTTGGCGGATGGCGAGTAGAGCAACTAGGCCATATCGCGACAATGTGGATCCATTACCGGATCCCAACCCAACCCACCGTGGCACTCTCCGTCCGCACTGCGGATATTACAATTGACTGTCCTGTGCCCTTTTTTTTTTTTTTTTTTTTTGGGACCATGTCTCGATTTATGCGTGTCATCCTTGCGCAGGGGCGATGCTAATCTTCTTTCTCTGTATCGTTCCAATTTTAACGGATGTCCCGAAGGACCCCTGTGCCCTGATTGAATTGCCGTTGTGTTTTTTTGTTCTTTCTTTCTTTTTTTGAAGGGCGACGGCCTTGAGGTATCATCATTGAGCTGACCGGCCCCGGTACTTCAGAATGATTGTTTTCTGTCCATCGGATTGCATCTGGATTCGAACTCAGGTCTGTATTTCAACAGTTCATGGGTGTACCAACTGACCCGTTGGTATGCCGTTGTTCATATTGGCTGCCGGCTCGTTCCCCCCCCCCCCCCCCCCCCCCAAAAAAAAAAAAAAAAAAAAAAAAAAAAAAAAAAAAAAAAAAAAAAACATTCCACAAAAATTATCTTTTTTCCCCATTCCCTCAAAAAACCTTTCCCCTTTTTTTTTTTTTTTTTTTTTTTTTTTTAAATATATTTTAAATTTTTAGATAGGCTACGATCTTGAGGTATCATAACAGAATTGACCAGCCTGAGATAATTTAGAGTTATTTTAATTTTTTAGATAGGAATTACCGTCTTTCCTGAACACAACGACATGCACCCTAAACATGGACGTATACAAGCTATCTTTCCGGTCTCTTAAAGTCAAAATGTGGGTGCGTTGTGTTCGGGGGGAGACGGTAGTGTTACCTGTAGACCCCCCCGCCGGTATCGCCCACCCACCCCCCAGCCTCTGTGGGGGCTCTTCCTGTGGGGGACGGGCCGAGTGCAGCTGGATTCTCTCTCTGGTCGGGGTTGGTTTGAGTACCCCCCAAGGCTGCAAAGGCCACACCCTAGAAGGCTGCCAAGGCCAGGTCACGAGATTCAATAGAGCATTGATAACTATAATAAGAGTAATAGGTATACCAATATTAATATAGTAAAATAATGATAATGTTATACACATGTAGCTGATGATAATCAGAAGGAGGAGGAGGAGGAGGAGGAGGAGGAGGAGGAGGAGGAAGAGGAGGTAGATGTGCGTGCATCGCGGGAATGCATGCTACGTTGTAAGGGAAAAAGCCAGAAAGAAACAGAGAGAGTAGACCTGGGTTCTGACCACAGCGTGTTTTGTGGTTTGATGTGGTGTGCTTCTGTGTTGCAGTCGGCAAGGCAGGCTGTCTTGCAGCAGCCTGGTAATCTTCCCAGAGTTGTTTGTTCATGGTGCCAGTTGGTGGTTTTTCGTGCCGGCCGATGGGTTTTATCCACAATGGATAAAATAGTAGTTCCCAATCCGCGCCCAACACCATAAGTCTGATGAATGCCCTAATTGACTCTCAACAGCCCTGATTGGCACGCACTTGCAATACTGAGGGGATTTGCGGCAGGCGGAAGGTTTTCTGGTCACGGTTGGGGTTTATCAGAGCCAGCAACGGCCGAGCTTCCAGTATATGTCCGTGATGTCGTCCACATTCACTCTGCGTGGGACAGGGTGCATAGCTGTGTGCTGTGTGCTGCGTCCTGAGTTCTTCCGTAACTCTGCTTGTAGTTCCTTCCATTCACTTTTGTGCAGTTTCTTCACTCTTTGCGCAGCGCCTCCGCTTTTTGGTGCCGTTCCAAAGAACGCTCTGTGTTCGTTCTTGGAGGGTTGATATGCTGGTGCATGCTTCCATTACTTGAACGCACCGCACCAACAGAAGAGCAGCATTGACCAGCATTCACCACGGTAAAACCAGCATTCACCACGGTTAAGAGCTTGAACGCACCGCACCAACAGAAGAATAGCATTTACCACCAATTTACCACGGTAAGAGCAGCAGCACTCACCACGGTTAGAGCTTGAACGCACCGCACCAACAGAAGAGCATAATTTGCCACCAGTTTACCGCGGTAGGAGCAGCATTCACCACGGTTAGAGCTTGAACGCACCGCACCCAACAGAAGAGCAGCATTTGCCACCAATTTACCACGATAAGAGCAGCATTCACCACGGTTAGAGATTGAAGGCACTGCACCAAAAGAAGAGCAGCATTTACCAGCAGCATTTATGCTGGACCAGCGGAGCGTTCAAGCATGCACCAGTAGTGGAGCGTTTGAGCATGCACCAGTGGAGCGTTTGCGCACGCACAAGGGAAAAAACGGGATTTGAACCTGCGACTTCTGGCGTGAAAGGGAAAAACCGATGCTGCTCTTCTGTCGGTGCGGTGCGTTCAAACTCTCCGCTCCACTGGTGCATGCTAGCTTCCATCGCTGCACAAGCTCAAGCTCCTCTGATGCCGTGCAAAGCTCCATCTCAAGCTTGACCAGTCTCCTCTGCTGGTCACCAGTGGAGCTTGCGCAAATAACTCACCACCAATCAGGGTCGATCTCCACCGTTGCACGCTTTACCCACTGGTGCAATGAGTTCACTGTGCTACACCATCTTTCTTCGTCTTGTAAAGAAAGAGGGGGGGGGAAACAGGGGGGCACTTGTAAAGGAGGTGGAAGATGAACGGGGTCAGGATGAATGGTGTGTTGGGTCGAGGAGGTGTTCCGCAAGCAGAGGTTCTCAGGCTCGGAAGGGCTGTCAGGCTCGGAAGTGCTGTCAGGCTCGGAAGTGCTGTCAGGCTCGGAAAGGCTGTCAGGCTTTGAAAAGGCTGTCAGGCTCAGAAAAGTCTGTCAGGCCGTCAGGCTCAGAAAAGTCTGTCAGGCTGTCAGGCTCAGAAAAGGTTCTCAGGCTAGGAGGATTCCGGACGGGAGTTGGTTGGACTGAATGCGGCTGTATGCCTGTGGATTGAATTGGCAATCAAGCTAGAACTTTTTGCTCTCTCTCTCATGCGGCTGTATGCCTGTGGATTGCATTGGCAATCAAGCTAGAACTTTTTGCTCTCTCTCTCTCTCTCTCTCTCTCTCTCTCTCTCTCTCTCTCTGAATGTATATTGTCTCTTGCCTACGTCTGTCTCTCCCGCTCTCTCTCTCCCTGCTCCCCCCGCCCTCCCTCCGAGTCCCTCTGAAATTCCTCAACTCTATCCCATGCCAATCTCTATAGGGCCACCACCCCGTCAACCCCCCCCTGCCCAACTCGGCGAGTAAATGTACATGTATGATTTATCAGGCTAGGTGGGAAATAGAAGAGCTGACTTCTGTGGTCAACTGCCAGGAACCAATAAATGATTCCGCTCGCTGCATTGCATAAAAAGGGGAAGACACACACACACACACACAGAGAGAGAGAGAGAGAGAGAGAGAGAGAGAGAGAGAGAGAGATGGTTGTACGCTGTTTTTTCTTTCTGCCTAAATTTGATGTTGTGGGTTGTGTTAGAAAAAGAGGGGGTCGGATGGTGTACATTGTGATTGTTTTTGGCATCCCAGCTTATGGTTGGGATCCCAGCTTATGGGTATTCATTACACGGAGAGCAATCAATCTTGGCAGGGATCCCATTCAGCCATCGATTCACTGGTTCGAAAGTTGGAAACAGTGATTTGGATATACCTAGGGGTGCTCTTTTTTCTCGCTTCTTTTCTTTCCTACTGTGGATCTCTTTCGGCAGTGTATGTCCCTGGTAGAATATGGTGTGTATTCTAAATGGTTCTCTAGAATTTCGGAATTGGAAATTCTGAACTGAGGATTACCGTTAGTGTGTGTTGTTTCGAATCTGTTTTGAACTGGGGGCATGGTACGTGAGACTACCCTCTGCACCCGGAGCACGGTCAATATCGCAGGTTATGGACTGAAAGTTGGCCCCAATATAGCTATTGTTATGATCTTGGCTATCTTGCAGTGCAACAACTCAAGGAAAGACAATGCAATTCAATTGCAGGTGAAAGGAAAGCACTTGGAAAGAGAAAGAGACAAAGGAAGAAGAAGAAATAAGAATGGAAGAAGACGGTCAGGTCACCCCGCCAAGATGGCAATGGGTGATGGTCCTGGGTGGTTAACACTAGGGTAGGACGGGGGGTGGGGTTGCGCCAGGGCAAAAGATAAGAGGAAGGGTGTTGGGGTCTTCAGAGGGGTTCATATGGACAACCGAGTGGCCGAGTACCATGGATGACTGCCATACGTCTAGTATCCCACCTCTACAACAACCTCGGCTTAAACCACCACTACCTTTCACAGGCAAACACGAAGTCCATCTAGTAGCCTACTCCTCAAAACACGGGGCTCAGGGCAGGGTTGGAGGCCGATGAAATAAAAAAGAAGAAAAAAAGAAAGAAAAACAAAAAAAAATGAAAGTTTCAAATCCAGTTGCCACAAAAATTGGAGTGAAGCTGACGTTGGCGGCGCAGCGCTACCGGGGGCGCTGCACTGCCAGGTTGGTCCAGCGAAGATTCCTCGGATGACACAGCCTTGGCGAGATCGTGTGGCGGATGGAAGCATTGGTGATGGTGCTGCGAAGAGGAGCTTTAGCGATGGCGTCATACGAGGGTTCGTGGGTGTAGAGTATTCTTCTGCCTTCCTTCAATTACACTGTTTAAGGGCTTGAATCTTCTGTGGTTGCTCGTCAACGGGTCCGACGAGGCGCTACCTTACCATCCATTAGCCTGTTAGGTTGTCGATGGCCAGTTATGCGTTCGTTGCTAGCATCGAGATTATAGTCGGCAGTTGAGGCCACCGTCGCTAGCATGTGGAGGGAGGCTGGATGTTTCTCTTCCGAAGGTGGTTGGGGCTAGGTTCGAGGGTGTTTTGGAGGGGAGGTGGAGGATGCTTTGTGAGGAATTCTCTATTGGCAGACATGAGTTGCAGGGCTTCCTTGATGGCGCTCATACGATTTCTGCTTGGTCATCTGAGTCTTGGTCTCAAAATCAATCCAAAAATTTTCGTGATGATTTCTTGTCTTACGAGCCCAGGGGAGGGTGTTGATGGAGAAGGAAGCTGAAGGATTTCGGATCGGCCGAAGCGCTTCCGCCGGCACTATGGCGTTTCGGACCAAGCGCTAAGCCCCCGGTAATGCGGGCTTCTAAGTCAACCGTGTTTGCGCCGCCATCGTGACGTCGCCACGGCTGCTATGACCCTGTCCACGTCCGCCATGATCGGAGGGTCGTCATTACTTACCTGTAGGGAGAAGTAGTCGGCGATGGCATCATAGTGATAAGTCGGTCAAGGTCCAATGTTGTGAGTGTTATAGCTTATGTGTTGTGCTAGCTTAACTCTGTTGTTAGTTTACTCGTCAAAATTCTGTTAGGACGGTTGTCCTAATTTTCGGTTTTGAGGCGTGGGTTGAGGGGAGCGAGTTATACGGGGTCGGACGATATGGAGGACGATACACATCAACGAGGTGCTCGTTCTCCCGCCCCTGATCCGGGTGGAGATAGAGACGAAGATGAGCTCAGAGAACTGATGCGGTTGTGCTATGAGGAAGGGATTATGCCCCCTAACATAGATCCAGGGGAGATGACGGTGGAAGGAAGAGAGGTGAGATTTAAGGTAAGGGAGCGTATCGATAGAGTGAGGATTGCTTGGTTGAAGGAGCACACAGTGACGGTAATCTTTCGTGAACGGGCGAGATTTCTCCCTAAGAAAGTGAAAGACGATATCGGTCGTGCCTTTGAGGATGATAAAATTCAGGACGGTAGCTTTGAAACGGCGACCTTCAGACGAGGAAGAGTGAAGGTGGAGAGCCCGAATGTGGTCTCCTATGTGGCGAAGTCAAGGGCGATTGCATCTTGGATGGTTATTAAAGGACATGATGAAATCACGGTTGGTCAAGACACCTACAAGCTGGAGTTCAAACCGTGGATGTCAAAAGCTTAGCTCCGGGAGCAACGTCGAGAGGAAGACGTTCTTACCTTTTGGGTAACCGCCGTCCAGGTGCCCTTGGATTCGTTCTTTTCTTTGGAGGCGCAATTGGCAAGGGCAATTGGCCCTATTATTCGAACACATCCAATAGAACCAGATCGCCTCAAGCCCTCACTCGTCAATGTCAAATTTGACATTGACCCGGCGTCTCGGCCTAATATGAAAGACAAGATCTGGGTAATTACCCCGGAAGGTGATGAGCTGGAAGTCAAGTTAGCGTCATCGGAAACTCCAAGGTGCAAATGATGTCGAGCTTTTTTTCATTCAGGCAATGAATGCAGGAGAGGTTCGAGGCAGAATCAACAAAACAGCCAGCCAGGTATGGGCGGTCAGCAGTCGTCTTTGAATTAAGGTTATCAAGGACCAATGGGCCCCCTGGGGCTTTCCCCTTCGATGGCAGCTCTGCAGATCGATCCAAACAACGCTAAAAGTGGAAATCAGCCGCTTGTTCGCTCTCATCTCGATCCAAACAACGCTCAAGGTGGAAATCAGCCGTTTGTCAGCTCTCATCTCAATCCAATGTTTTTGCCAGCTCATCCAGCTGGTTCAGGTGTACTCTCCAACGGGCAGAGGGGAAGTCAACCTTGGGTACAACCCCTTCCGCATCCTTAGTTCGGTATGCCGAACTGGACGGGGAATGCTCTCACGCCTTGGATGTCACATCCTGTTTTTCAACAAGGAGGTTTTGTATTCCCCGGTAACGGAGGTGGGGCCACATCCCTATCTCAGCAACAGGGAGGTTTGGGCGGAATGGTAGGGTTAGGCGGAATTCAAATGACGGTCCCATCCTTCCCCTCTGGATCGAGAGGGGAAGGAGGGGTTAGATGCTTGGCGGGAAGTGTAGCGGGGCATGCAGGCGGGGCCACAGGGGGGAATACTTCCGCAAACAATGCTTCAAGTCTCAACGTCGAACGAGAATCTACACCAAGGCAGAAGGACGGTACTGGAGTATTGAGACCACGGTCCGACACGCCAGGGAAGCAGCGACGGCTTAGCCTCGAAGGAAGCTTCATCGCAAGTGATCTTTCGGAAGGAGAGGAAGCATCGGATACATCAATTCCAAGGTCGGAGGATTCTACTGGAAGGATGAAGATGGCGGGCACACCAGGTAACTTCTCAGGTTAAAGGAGAGCTCCGACCTCCATGGGCAGAGGTCAACTCCAACAGGTAGAGAACAGGGTTTTGCTGCTGTTCTACACCTATGTCAGGAACTCAATATGGGTTATTGCATGGCCAACCCCGGATGGTTCACTACAGATGGCAAGTATTCCAGGCCCAGAACAACCATTACTTTGGTTCGAACGGCCGTTAACGATCGATTTCTATTCCGTATCATTCCTGATATGGCGATGCCCAGACTGATTGTGGAAAGCCCGGAAGGGGGAGGCAAACGGTTAAAAGTTTTTTGTACCAATTATGGATGTAAGACTTGCGGCCGGACAATTGGAAAAATTGGAGGAAGAAGGCATACGCCTCGTCCCGCTGACTTGGGTTGCAGAGGGTTGAAAATCAGAGCTTCGAAGGTTGAAAATGCCTCCTCTGCAATCAGCCGAGAGACTAGCGGAGATAGATGGAAAATTGTTGAAAGACAAAAAACTACTCTCGCCGTATGTAAGGGCAATGCTGAGTTCGGCTTGGCTACCAGCTCCTCAGAGCTCTCCCATCCAATCAGTTGGTCGGAGACAGGGTGTGAATGGGCAAAGTTAGGATCGGGTCGTGGAATGTCAGAGGATTAGGGGATGGGGCAGGACATCATAAGAGAGATAGTTTGAAATCGTGGATCTTTGATAAGAACATCCAAGTGAAGTGTCTGCAGGAAACTAAGTTATCTGAGGGAAAGATTACAGGTCTGTTGAATTGGTGGGACGACCCTCAGTTGTGGGCTCCCGCGTTCGGGTCAATAGGGGGAATTGCAATCCTGATCCACAGGAAAGCAGAACTAGAAATAGTGGACTTTTACTCTGATATTTGGGGGCGGTGGTCTTGGGTAAAGTGCTTTATAAATGGCTCCTATTGGGTAATTGCATCAATTTATGCCCGTACAGACGAGATCCCTCGTGCTAATTTTTTCAAGACCTACTCTTAATTATACCAGAGGCAGACAACTTAGTTCTTGTTGGGGATTGGAACACTTCATTGGATGACATTTCTGGTAGGAGGATGAGAGACAAATTATCTCTCTCAATGCTTATGGATGAATTAGAAGTGATTGATCTCTTTCGTCTCTCCCATCCCGAGTCTCCGGGTTACACATGGTTTTCTCATTATCGAGAGAATACTGGAATAACTAAACAGAGGCTTGACTATTTTCTGATCTCCCCGTCATTATGGCAAGGGGTGGATAAATTATATGAATCCGCCCATTATCTATCGGATCACGAACCAGTGATTCTCTCTTTGCATACTTCTGAAGTCTTGCGTGGAAAAGGCTTATTCCGGTTTAATACCGTAAATCTTAAGGAACCAGGACTCGTTGTATGGATGAAACATTTTTGGAAGGACTAAGAGAAGTCACGAGATGACTATCACTCCACGGCGGAATGGTGGAACTCAGGGTCACGAATTTTCTCCAACCTCCTGAGCGTCATCTCTTGCCTGTTGGCTTATAAACGGAATAATAGAGTGGTGGAAATTCAAAAAC